CACGTTGGTTAGGTCGTTGCACTTGTTTTTTTTTATTTGCTCGTCGATTCGTCTTCTTTTTTTCTTCAAGGTACGGGGACCGCATTTCAACTGTACGGCTAGGGGGTAGAATCGTTTCTCATCACTGCCAAGTTCGGGGTGCGCCTATTATGGGCGGAATAAAAAAAAAAAAATCGAATTTTCCGCGACCAAACCAGGGGTGCGCCGATTATGCGAGTAAATGGGGTATATACGCTATGAAGTGGACGAGTGGATGACTGCCACCGTAGCTCTCTGGTAGAGCATGAGATGCGTTATTTGAAGTTCGCAGGTTCGGATCCTTCCGGTGGGAAGTTATTTTTTCATTCACTTTTCTTCTCTCACATTTATATAACAATTACTTGAAATAACATCCCTTGTACTTCTCATGGCATCATTGTGTCTTAGTTGTAATTACAGTGGAACTTTAATTATACGTCCCCTGGTTCCGTGCCTACCTGCATTTTACGACAAATCGGTTTGGTCCTGGCAAAATCTCCATAGAAATAACGCATTAAAAACTTTGGTTATATAACGCAGTTTTATGCCGACCCCGCATTTCACCACAACTTTCCGATTCCGCCCGAAAGAAAAAAACTACCTTTACTCGGATCATTGCCAAAATATTCACGAGTTCAAAATATGAACTTGCGTTACCCTAGATTGATGATTGGAAAACAAAAGAGTGAGACAGGTTGTCTTCTTTGAAAGGAAAAATTATTCTTCTGGAAGTTCATGTGTTTTTACGTATGCCTCAATCGCGTGCGTACGTATCTGGGATTGTTACCTAGTCAAGCTCTATCCACACAGAGTAGCTTCAGCTGGCCGAAAAGCTGATATTTTCACGTTTTTGGTTCGTAAGAACTTTTGCTGGTCGACATACAGCTGATCTCTTGCCTTTCTCACACTCGCAGTAGCAGGCTTCCGCACGCTACGAATGCGACTGTTTTCACAGTACAAGATTACTTTGACTTGATGTCAGTGCTCTTAATATAAGCGTGCGGGACGCTACTAGTTGCACATCACAGGGCAACAAATTCAACGTGCACAGCTCAGTAGCACACAAACCATGCGCGAATGCATTTTGCGGAAACTCGTTGATAGCGATGACACTGTGTGTGACTCTTCTGACGTGAAGCAGTTTGCAACGTGGTTTTAATTTAGTTTTTCCATGCAGGCAATTTTCGGACTCTGTTGGTACAAAGATGCACTTTGTATTAGATTTTTTTTAAGGTTTAGAATAAAGATTTGCTTGCACATCCTTCAGCTAAGTAATGCTGCCATTATCTCCCGCCGGCAAAAATATTTTAATCTACCTTCCTTGCGGAGGCACAATGTAGTGCCGTGGGCTTATTCAGGCAGTCGGTACCCATTTGTTTATTTATTTTTGTTACCCTCAATTGCTGAAGCATTACAGAGGAGATTGGGTTACAACATGAAAAATACAATATAGTAAAACAAATCCTGCTATATTTTATACATGAGGAAGACTATTTAGCAAAACAAAACAAAAGTAAATCATAAAAAAAAATTAAGGGAATCGCAAAAAGAAAATAGTAAATGTGGTAAAGTTATACAATACTAGCGGAAAATGTAAAATTAAAAAGAAGTAAAAAAAATCAAGGAACTTGCTGGAGAATGTCAGCATCTTGACACGTGTAGACAAAAAGTCGGGGGGAGGGGAAATGGATAGGATGACTAGGAGCTATCGGGAAGTAGGTAAGCCGATAAAGGATGACGAAAAAGCGAGTGATCAGAGATGTAAATGATGTCACCTTGTAGATGGTTCCAACCGTTTGATGTGACCGGTATGAAGGAGCAAAAAAATGTGTTTGTGTAGAAAAAAGTATTTTCAACCTTGTGTTTGTGGTCAATGCAAGAGGAATGATACATGGGAGGCATAATGAGCACCCTACGCAATAATGAAGGATGGTAGGTTTTTTGGGGCAAGGCAGAGTGTGACTGCCTGTAATCTTAGTTTTTCAATTATATGACTGTATGGCATGGTTCCCTGTAAGTCTTATACAGTCAAACCTTGTTAGTGCGTACCCGCTTTAAGCGTATTAACAGTGAAGACGTTGCGACAAATCCTCAACCGAGTCTCATAGAGACTGATGCATTTGCGGACTAACTGGGTACCACGATAACATTTTGCGTCACAAAATTTTACTGTGTCCCTGAACTTGCAGATGGCACAATCTGCCGTCAACGATATTCCGTCATGTTGATTAGTGTGGACATCAGCCGATAAATTAAACTTCCGCATGATTGCGGCGATAACATTGTGAGTAATTGCGATCACATTGCCGACGGAAGGCCTTATGGCAGTAAGCATCTCCAGTTATGTGCTCGGGCACGCGTGTGGAGCAGCGTCACTTTAGGCCTACTGCACGCTTGTAGTAGGCAGCTACCTGAACGCGCTGAGCTGCTGATCGCTGCCTCTTCATTGTGCAAGATTGCCGTGTGCCCGTGTGCCTGTAGGCCCGTGTGCTCAGATTTGGGTGCACGTTGAAGAACCCCAGGTGGTCGAAATTTCGGGAGCCCTTCACTACGACGTCTCTCATAATAATGTGGTAGTTTTGGGATGCTAAACACTACATATCAAATTACCAAGAAACCTTGATGCATTATGCTAACACGCACACCGTACAGCAAGCGTAGCGCTGTTGTAACCATGCTGCACGCTTTTATTCAGCGACAGCTCCGTCCGTTGCCAGGACTGCTAGAGCATCGCGGAGAGCGCATTGCTTGCTGAAAGCTCTTTGCCGCCGCGTCAACCTAGCAGGCTAGTCGCTGCATCTGTGCATGGCCTGAAGCGGAGAAGGCATACTCTACGGCTAGCGGATCGGCAGTCACGGTGTGCGCCGAGTGAGCGAAGCGCTGAATGCAACTAGCCATGCAGTAAGCTATTTGGGTCTCTGCGACTGTACCGCATTTAAAAAGAGAAAACTGCATCTGTTTTCGCTTAGAACCAGACCACGGAACAACTATCGTGGACAGTCGGTTGTGTTCATTCTATCACTATACCACGCTGCATATTCGGCAAACCGCAGTAGTTCCAAAATGTCATTGGCGTCGCCACCGCGTGCAACCGGGTGGTTGTGCGAGAATTAGAAACTTTTCTGCACATTGGCAAAAAGAAAGAAATGGCTTTGCGGTGGGCACTTAGGGAATGTATCCCGAGTTTCTTATTTGTTGGCGGCGATGGCGCATGTCAGGATATGCAAACTTGTAGCTGGTGGTTACTGTGTAGTGTGTTTAATGCGTAGTTATGCCTCTGTTCTCGGCAGGTGCGTTTTAATGGGGTTTCATTGTAATCAGGGTTCAACAGCAATATTATAGTTTCAGTGATCTGGGTATTTTCTAGGCTTGTGCAAATAGTGAATTTTAGGTTCGAAGCGAATTCAAAGCGAATAGTGATTTTGATCGAATAATTTCAAATCGAATTCAAATTATATGTATGACATATAAAAAAAAAGAATGTTTATTATGACCTAGCTAACGTGCACACTATTTCTTTTGAATTGAAATAGGGACTCTATGCAAATGCCATTTTTTTTTTCGTTTAAAGGAAGTCGAAACAACCTTGAGTAGTAGTTTCGGTAGGATGCGAGTGATAACCTGCAAGATAATTAACGCTTTAAAATTTATTATACTTGGGGATATAAGCCATCATAACAAGCTTAATAAATTGAAGAATTGATTTGAGGACATCATGTTCCTTTAAAGGGGCCCTGCAACACTTGTTCAAGTAGCCATGGAGCCAGTAAACATGCTTGTTGCTTCACAAATTTACTGCCGAAAAGTTTCTAGGATCAGTCCAGTACGAGCGGAATTCCAAAATTTTGTCGCAAGCTGCAATTGCATTCTTTCTTCTCGTCCCGACGAAATAACTGGAAGTTAAGCAGGGAGAAATGGCATGACGAAAGAAAATAAGCAAATACGTCACACGCACCTTGTGACCTTGAGCATCTTTTTTTTTCTTCGAATACGGGGATTTTTTGCGATCGAGTATGTACTCGTGGACAAGCGGCGGCCCCGGTAACGATGCGCGAACCATGCTTAAATCGCCCAATGGCTGTGACTTGAGCCGTATGTTCCTTCTTGACTGTGACAAGTGATTTTTGAGCTTGTAGTGTCATTTGCCGGGGAAGAAAGCAATTTTTAGCTTTGAAAATTTATTGTGAATTACAGGCTGCGTGCTGCGCTTTAATGTCTGCCTCGCGTGTTCTCGGTAGCCTCAACTACCGGTCGGCAGCATTTTCTGATCGTGTTCAGCAAGTGTTGCAGGGCCCCTATAAATTTTAAGGGGGGTTTCGCGGCAAAGCGAAGTTCCCATGGTTAGGTGCTTTCACGGCTTAGCATTTTTACATTGTAGTAACACCACCTTTACAAGCAGTGACATGCCGACTAATACACATCTATTTGTTTATTGCGAATACTTCGAAAATATTTTATAACTTAAATTTGAATTGAAGCGAATTCGAATAATCAACTATTCATTCGAATATTCAAAGCATTTGAATATTCGCACAAGCCTAGTATTTTCCAAGTATGTGCAGTGGTCCTGCTTGTCACTGTGATCTGTGAGAGCATTTTGTTCTGTGTTAAAAATTGCATATCATCGTTTCTGTTATCCCATATTCTTTTTACGAAGCTTTTCATCTGACGGATGTAAGGGGCAGTGCAAAGCTTATATTTTATTTTAGAAAAGTGCCCAAGAGCTCTGTTTTTCACAAAAAGTGCTTTGTGGGAAGTATTGTTCTACACAAATTGATGCGAAAAAAATATTCCTCTCCTTTTTTGTTATAGTATCTATGGAATTTGGAGATTGGTGTTACTGGCATGTTTTGATTCTATGCTCCTCTCTGTTTTGATCCTGTGAGCAAACATTTTGAGACAATTTTCATTGTCTTCAAAAGTCATATTCACTGCTTTATTTTTCATCGTTTTTATAATACTCCTGCTTCTTTCATTTGCAGGATTCTGCGCATGAATCCCACAGCAGTACTGTTCATGGCACGGTCTGTGATTGAACGGCTATCACCTTTTGTGCGTCAGATTGATTTTGCCTTGGAATGGGTCTACATTGAGTCTGGCCGAGCTGTCTATAGGCAAGTTTTTATCAGCATTATTCTATAGACAATAGGTCTATTAATTCCTCTGTCTGAACTATAATTTTATCATTCATTGTTGCTGAAGTTTCATTGCGCTCAAGGCTCTGTATAAAAAAAATGCATACAGTTTAGCCTGCTTATAACGAACCTCTATGTAAGGAATTCCTCAATTTAATGAAGTTTTTCTATTCCCTACCATGGCTCCATAGAAGCACATGTATTTGTGACATCTATGTAACGAAGTAACAGAGGGAGACAACCTTGATATAACAAATTTTCTCCACAGACAATCTAGGAATTTCGTTCCGGATTTCGTTACAAGTATGCATCTTCCGCAGGCGCCCTGCCACCAACAAAGCGCAAAGCGACAGTGGCACTTACAGCGCAGCAGGCGAGAGAGAGAGCACTTGTGATCGCGCACGAGTGAGCGCAAGGCGGGCAGGTGGGCCTGCCGCCATTCTTGCTGCTGCGGATGTGCCCCTTCTTTCTCCAAACCAAAAAAAAAAAAAAACTACTTTTGCGCGTGCAGTGCCATGCTGTGTGTAAGCGTCACATACCATGTTTACTCGCATAATGAATGCACTCGTATAATAAATGCACCCCCAACTTCTGTCATCAAAAGCTGGATTCCCCCCCTTCCCCTCCCCCTTCTTGCATAATAAACGCACCTCCTACATTAATCTGCTGCATTCCTGCTAACAGACACCTGGCGCCTTCTCATCCATTGGATCTTTTTTGTTTATTTATTATTATTTTGCCGACCTACCTCAGCTCCCCCCCTTCGCCCGTTGCTGCGTGCCGTATTGTTTTTATTTCTATCTGTGCGCAGCACGTCGCTCGTCTTATCTGTGCGCCACAGTGGGGTTCAGAACGGTTCGAGTGTACAGACATCGCAGCTGATAGGCACACAGTGAGCTGAGTTCTTAAAACAGCCCGTGCCAACTGATGAGCCGCTGTGCCTTGCTCCCTACAAGGCTGTAGATATTAGGCGCCTTCTTTCTTTTCTAACCACTACCACCACCACCAAACGATGCAGGCAGTTTCAAAAATCCGAACCACGTGCACGCCATTTTCGAGCGACGACAACAGGATTTGCTGTCACAAAGGGTCAATAGGCGCTATCGCATCGCAGGTTCCTGGAAAACAAGAAGAGTCATTTGTCGCCCACAATAGACCATGAGGATTTCCACAACATGGTAGCACCCCCGATTCTCGTTTTTATTGTCATCAGCGCGTACAGGAACTTCTCATGTGGAAGCAAGGCGGCGGCCCTATTTTGTCATTAATCTTGTCATCGACGACTTGTTTTAATGCTTTGGGGGGAGGGGGGGGTAGCTCGCTGCAATGTTGGTTACTTGCTACAATGTTAACATTGTCGTGACGGTTGTCGTGCGAGGTTGCTGCGAAGTTGGCAAAGTGCGTCATAGTGTCATAGCGCTTGCTTCTGGCCACCTCTCGAGATCACAGCAGATAGCACTGTTTAGGTTTAACGATTGTGAGAAAAGATAGCCACGTAGAGCTTTTATGGCATGCACAGGCGGCGTGGGGACAACATGGAGAAGACGGCGCCGTAAACAACTGAAGATGAGTAAAGGGAAACAAAGCTGTTTCCAAACAGTGTATGCGTATGTCAATTGCGAAAGGCTAAGTAACCTAACTTTTTTTGCATTACCGTATTTCTTGCTCCTCCCGAAAAAGTTCTCATAAAATTTACCCAGCGTAGTAGACGCACCCCCCAACTTAGCTTCGATTTTTCGAGAAAAAAGAGAGTTCATTAGGTGAGTAAATACAGTACAGTCGCCGACCAATTTTTAAGGCTCCAAAAATTCGGACTTGTTGGATATTTCGGACTTCAAAAGTGTACAGTTGGGGTTCCCGTAGAGTTAATGCATTTTTTCGACTGATTTTTCGGACGAATTCGCCCCCGAAAGTAGTATTTTTCGGACTAAATTGCTTGTTTTGAGCTGCACCACAAACCTGTATGGACGCCGCCATGTTGGATTTTTCGTCGGCTTGACCAAGCTTAGTGGCTTAATTTTAAAATGGCTTTCCTATCTCCAAGATTGGAAAGCAAACGTCTTATTTCAAGTGTGGCAGCTTGGGCTAGTTGGTATGACATGTCGATAGTTATAGCGCGAGAACAGAATGACGACAAAGAGGCAAGGACACGAGCGCTGACAAAAACCATGTGGCACAAAGAGCAATACATGAGTAAGGGAAAAAACAAAGGCACAGAAAAAGACAAAGGAAAGTCTATAAGGAAACGAAACAGAAAAGTAAAGGTAATATAACTACTTGTGCGCACCGAAACCTTCGGGGAACCTTAGCTCTTTCTCAGACAGGGACACGGAGGGCTTGCTAATGCATGACACCTGTTCGTGTGCCATCTGCGCGGCCTCAACGATGACTCGGGTGTGCTCATCCCTGTGCTTGTATAGCGTCACTGTGTCCTTGAAAAGGGACACACAGTTGCACTCAGTGCAGTGCTGAGCAAGAAAACCATCTTTCCCGTTTCTGACATTGTTAGCGTGTTCTCTCAGTCGATCGTTCAGACACCTTTCGGTCATTCTGACATAACAAGCACCGCAGAAAAGGGGGGTCCTATAGACAACTTCCCGGGAGCATGCCACTTACCTGTTTCTATGCTGAACTCTATATTCAGTTGATGACTGCGTTTTCAGGGGGTTTGTAGATTTGGTGAGGCTGATTAATTTTAACGGTGCAGAGAACAGCACACGAACTCCCACACATTTTCTGATTTTCTTGGTCCTGTGTGATATCTGGTGTTTGTATGGAACGACTGAACTTTCACGCTCTGTATCCGTGTTGCTCAGATCCTGTCGCGGCGTCTGCTCTGCCCCATTAGTCCGCAAGATAGTCTCAGAAACGGAAGTGATAAACGCCTTAGGAAAACTCGAAGTCTTAAGCTGGCAAACTTGAGTTTTGAAGCTCGCAGAGATGTTGTGAATGGACGACCTATTTGTGAGCGCTTATGTCCTTTGTGCCCTTCTTGTCTCTTTGTCATCGTTCTGTTCTCGCGCTATAACTACTATCATGTCATATTTCAAGTTTCGGAGGCCATGTCTTCTTTAGAAAACGCAGCACAGGACCATTTTTTTTTTGTCTTCGGTCAGCCATAGTGGTCAGCACTGTCGTCATTGCACCGCACAGGGAGGAGGCGGAGCTGCGAAGTGGTTAAGTGAATGTGCCTGCCACAATGACATTAGGGAGTTTTAGAATAGCGCACCCCTAGCCCATGCGGTGCGGTCGCTGCCACTGCGCATGCATCGTAACGCGAGTTGCCGTTCGCGGCCCCCGCCCGCAGAAAATCTGAAATAGCATGCAGCGATAGCGGCCCGCGAGGCCTGCAAGGTGTTGTCTGTAGCTTCTGTGCTTTTGAGTTTGCGGTCGGGGCAAAAGTCCCTAAACTTTTTCCTAGGGGGAGCAAATGCTATCCTAAAACTCGTAATGCGTCCGCTATACATGCAACGCCTTCAGCACCTGCAAACACTATTCTAAAACTCCCTATTTAAAGACTTCGCTCGTGGGGACGATGACAATTTTGTGCGCGGAGGCCACAGACGGAAGAAATTTTTCGCCAGGTTGTGCCGCAGCCGAAGAGCGGTTCGGATGATGATGACGATCGCCCGCAGCTGTCGGCAGCGGAGATCGCCATCGCGGTGACACTTTTGTTGAGCATTTACGGTGACGATGTCACCTTGGTGCAAATACGGGCTAACCAAATAGCTTCCAAGCGTAGTATAAGGCAAGGCAGAATCACGGACTTTTTTTAAGCCTGCCTGATGCAATAAAGTTCATATTTCTGACAAAAACGAATTTTTCGGACTGTTCGATTTTTCGGACTTTTTTTTTCGGTCCCCGCCAGGTCCGAAAAATCGGTCAGAGACTGTACACCTAAAGATTCATCAGAAACTTTATTCGTAACACTGTATCTATGACAAAACCATTTTTTACTGACTTTGTTATAACCAATAATTCGCTATAATTAATACCTTGGTATAATAAATTTGATAAATCCACGGAAAAATTCATTATAATAAGGACTTCGTTATATGCAGGTTCGGTAGGAAAATTTGCAAAATAAATGCACAAATTAAACATATAAGCGCTTAATGAAAACGTGCATTATGTTTAGAACAGCACTACGCTTGCGGATGTTAGCATGGTGTCTCAGTGCTTGCGTACAGCATGGCGCCTCGGTGCCCGCGACCTGCAACGCTAAACTCTGCGACAGCGAGTCGCTTGCGTTTATGGAAAGCAGTGTGCACTTCAACACGGTCGCACAATGAAGGCGGCAGCGATCAGTGGCCCAACACGTTCAGGTATTGGCCTATTAAAAGCATGCAGTAGGCTTAAAGTGGCCCTATGCCGCAAGCATGCCTGAGCAGATTGCTGGGAATTCCTACTGTGAGAAGGCTTTTCGTCGGCGATAAATCATACTGGCGGGTTTGTCAGTGGTCGCTGCCTTGCCTTCATTTTTTTCCCCAATCATTACCAGCAAAGGCATCATCGCAATCGCGCAGAACTCTGAATACTTGATTGGCCGATCTTCGCCCTTATCAAAATGATGAAAAACTGCTGGTGGCACATTATGGTATTTGCAAGTTCAATGGCTCAGTAAACTTCTACGGCGCAAAATGTTATCGCAGTATGCATTTCGTACACATTAACCGGTAGGTATAAGACAATCACTACGGCTTAAGCGGTCCGCGAATCTATTAGTCTCTATGAGGCTCGGTCGGGCATTCTTTGCAACTATGTTTGAACCATTAGTATGTTTAATGCGGGTACATACTAACGTGGTTTGACTGTAAGATAGATCAGATAAAAAAAAAAATAAGCATTTTTGTCATAACCCAATTAACATGTGTGATGTGTGTGTGTGTGCATGTGTGTGTCATTCCATATCAAGTGTACCTGGCTGATTTTCGACCATCTTTGATCATACTAAAAGAATCATACAGGTATAGGTGATTGTGAGTAATAGTTATTTAGGCGTTACTTGGCAAAAAAAAAAAGTTTGTGATGCCTGGAGGGCATTTCAAACTTTGGGCACCCAAATGAAACTGTGTTCTGATAAATAAATTTGAGCAGTTACAATGGAACAATTATTCCCTTAATCTCAAGTTACTCTTTCATGACAATGATGGTTTATCCATTTTTGTTTCAATTTTATTTATTTCTTGGCTTGGCAGAAAAGTGCAATATGCTCAATGTTTGTCGTTTTTTATAAAAAGCTTTTTTTTAGGGGGTAATGTATTCACATTTAATATTTTATCGGTTTCTATAATAAATTATTAAAATACTTCGATAGTGAATGAAGCACAAACACTGCCAGGATTATTTCGACAAATTTGGGTAAAATAGCATTTTGACTCGCATTGTGGCTTGATTTTCACAATGTAGTGGTCTAAGTAAAAATATGGCTTATATATCATTACATAGTATTTTTCATTAGTAAGGCATGAAGAAAGTTTTAAAAGAGTAGTTTTGTTTTAAAGGAAAAAAATGTTCCAACTGAACAACCCCAAGGTAGTGCAAAGCTTGCCTTTGCCTCGCCTTCCCTGCATAGCACGTCAGTGTGAGTTTCCAGCAGGGACTTTTTGGCCGCGAATAATGCATGTCATACAACTGCTTGTCACTTGTTTTAGTTTTACTGCTGTAAAGAGTGTCAAAAAGGGCAATATTGCTTATTTTATCTAACGGTACCTTTCCCTTCCACCATCTAAGGGTAGGTTATATTCAAGTGCTTCTCAGTTCCAAGGAGCGGGATTGTAAGACAGTCGGATGCCTGGAAGTCAGTATTAGGGCGTTGTTTAAGTTCTAATAATCAATGCACATGGTCTTAGTAATAAATAATTACATAATTTAGGTGTAGCTTACTTAAGCTGTTAGTATATGATGTTTGAGGTATGGTTTCTTACCACTGGTGTGCATAATGAAATGATGTATCCTAAGTGTACACATTGAAGACAATTCGATATTGTGCTCATAAATTACTCTAAATTCACCATTCCCGGTTGTCATTTAAATTGTGTATTTATCTTTTTTCTAATGGTCCTAGGGTATTGGAAATGTTAAAATCATGCCATCAGTACGGGACAGGCTTTTAATTAAAATAGTTCTAGTACCTTCGGACCATTATAAAACAAGAAATGAAACTGCTGAAATCCCTCCGGGAACGGTGACTGAAGTGTCATTTATGGGCACGATATCGAATCATCTCTGACGTGTACTCCTAGGATGTATAATTTCATCATGCACACCAGTGGTAAGCGATCAAGCATTGACCTATACATAAAAGTCATACAAACAGCTTAAGTATACTTAGGTATTGTGAAAATTTGTCAGTTTGCCTAGTCTTGTAACTTTATTCCTTGTGAGCTCACTTCATTTTTTGCTTGTTATTCTAGCCTGCATTATTAATTTTGGCACTTATACAAGTTTCTTGCTTCTGTGTGCAGGCAGGATGAAAAAGCAGAGTCTACAGCAATTGTGCTTAGTGGACGTCTCCGTTCCGTGCTGATAATGGCAGATGGCAAACGGGCAATGGTTGGGGAGTATGGCCGAGGAGACCTTGTTGGAGTAGTATGTATTCCAAATCTTTTTTTTTACTCAATAATTACGTACTTATGGCAAATTCCACTCGTCGAGCGAGAGCAAGTTTTCTTGCTTCGGGGATGGGAAATCGCGTTCCGCTGGTAGATCCGTAGTAAGTTCTAGTTTTGCACTGGTAGATTCGGAGTAACCCACTCCATGACGGAGCATTCGGCATGCTCTATTTTGCAGAGATGGACTTCACCGGAACTTTGAGGAAGTGTTGCCGTCATTTCCCGTACAGTCGAGATGCTAGGTTGTCTTCAGCTTTTTTTGAGGCGGTCTAGTAATCCTGTGCACTTGTTTACATTCCCAAAATTGGAAAGTGGTACCCCTGCTTTCTGCAACTGCGTAGTCGAAATGTGTGCTTTGCAGTGGAGACACAGTTGGCATTGAAACGTAGAGAACTGAAAAGAAAATTGTTTCCAGTATCCGTTTAGCAACGTATTTGTAAACAACTTCTGGAGCAACCTCACGCGGGGCGTTAACGTGTTCCTCTCGCAGATCTGGTTTGGCGCAATCCGAGTGCTCGCTTCAGGATTTCGGCGCCTGCTCGGGATCTGCCAGTGGAATTCGCCATTGCTTAGTTACTTATTTTGAATAAATTGGCGCTCAAATTTTTACAAAGGGTATAGAATGGAGGGAAAATTATTAAAAAAAAGAAATTCTAACTCCACTGAGGGGGGGGGGGGGCAGAGGGGTGTAAAAGTGCTATAGGGAAGGTGTGGGCAGTAGAGAAATAGTGTCAAACTCTTACTATTCGATGTTGACTTTAAACAATGGTTATTGTTGCAAGTAAATGACTCGTGGAAGGTAGCAAATGCAATTATTTCATTCTTTGTACAGTTTCACAGTTTTAAAACTCTTGTAGCTTGTGCTATGGTGGTGCATATGCAGGGGTAGATGTTGCTTTTTATTTGGTTCATAAAATCAACAGCTTGCAGAACTAGTTTCTGTGGAAAGTAGTAAGAGTCTAGTATTCATCCCGATTGTCATTACGCTTTTTTGAGGGGGTTTGAGTTGAGTTGCGAGTAGTACAACTGACACATGACTGAAAAAAATAGCAAGCTTGTGCACAGTGCAGGTGTACACCAGAGGGACATACTGATCATTCCTTTAGAATCTCACTGCTGTAGGAAGCAAACACAGGCTTTTTATTTCATATTTCTTGGGGAATAACTTGAGCTTGTTTGTCCTGTTAACATTGCATCAGCATTGAATTATATAGCTTAGGTTAATAGTATAATTAATCCCTTTCCTGCAGGTAGAACTCCTCACCGGAGCTAAAAGAGCAACTACTGTCATGGCAGTAAGGTGAGTGAAGCTTTGTAAATGGGGCTAAAGAATTAAAAGGTGAAATACATGTAAAGTGATCTGAAATTCATCGTTGAATGCTTTTGAAATGCCACTGTTAACAAATTATATGTGGTTTTAGCTAGCTGGCTTATGTCAAGTGTGAACTATGTCAGTGTGCTGCCCTTCTGATGTCATTACACTTCATAATAAACAGTGCCCACAATAATTCTTTAGAAAGAACTACTATAGTGGTATAGATTGTCAGGAGGGCTTGTGTATCCTTTGCTACAAGAGCTGAATAAGTATTTTTTTCAAAACGGCAGACAGACACCAATCTTAATGAACCGGTTGTGCAAAAGCACGTAGCTAAAGTTGACCTCTTCACTTTCTCTGTGCCCATTTTTTATCACAAATTGTAACCAAAAATTGTTAAATTGTCCATTAGGATCTCCGATGGCCAACACGATTTTATTGCTCTGCTAGAATACTCACTCCTACTTGCGTTATCTGTGCATTCCATGCTGTCACCAACCAGAAGACGCAAAATGAAGCACCAATAGAATGAGCTTAAATTAAGCTACATATAGCAAACTTCCATTAAAATGAGCTCTGATAAGATGTATGCTTTAATATAGCGACTAGTGTGGGAACGTTTGGTTGGCTGCTTGCAGGCGCAAGGTAACGTAAGGTAACGTAAGGTAACGCAAGGTAACGTAAGGCTGCTTGCAGGCGCAAGGCAGGCGTAAGGTAAAACAGCAACAGTAAGAACAACCACAAAAAAATGCTTAATACAAACTGATTCTCGTCTAACACAATATTCTGTAGTTACCACAACATTGAACCTCTTATTTTCAGAGTTGTGACAGTGAGATGGCAGCTAGTTAGTTCTGTTACTGGCACAAAGCAATGTCATAGTCACACATGCAGGGACCATATTTAAGTACAGAAAGCTGCGAGACTCTAATATTACCTTGGCCAAATCATCACGACATCACAAATGAAGCCATAATATCATGCTGATTTGTGCAACAGCAGCAAGAAAACTTCTGCCAATTGAATAAAACCAAGCAAGAGTGCTCGAATCCACATTTTTTTATCATACAAAGCAATATAAATGCCCTTTCTTTAGTACCTTTCTTATGTTCGCCTATTTTAATTACTGTTTATCATAACTTTTATTTAGAACCGTCTGACATGTCACTTCTGTTTTGGAGAGAGGGATACTTACAATAAGCCAAACTCCTGGTAACACGAATAAGTTCTCAAGGCCCCTCGAAGTTTGTCATAAAGTTACGGTACTTTTGCCAAGCCAAGCTCGTTCTTGGTTATTTTTACAAGAAATTCTAGGAACAAAGCAGCTCTTTCATTGTACAACAGGAATTACCTAACCTGAGATTGCAAAGACCACATCGTTCAGGCTCTGTTCTGGTTCTTTATGTTGAACTTCACAGTAGCTTATTTTACAGCATTGCCTATAGACTGTTTTACAGGTGGTTTTTAGTGCCGCCATGTTGGGCTGTTAGCCTTTGTGTTTTCCATCTTTAACAACTTAACAAACAATGATATGGTACATGCACATGCATGAAGACGATTGAGTTTATGTATACGATATTTCGTGGCCTTATTAATTCACATCGCACTGTACAAAAAAAAAGTATCAACTTAACATCCCAAGATAGCGCTACCCATGTGTCTTAGGTGAAATAGTCTATAGGCAGTTTTTTTTTTTTCATGTTCTTAGATCATTTTGCAGGAAGCTTTGTTTCTAGTTCTGGCTTTTTTTCTTCATGGCGGAAGGAGCTGGGGAGTTTTTAAGTTGACCAAATACAGTAGACTCTCGATAATTCAAACGCTGATATATAATACTTTTGGTTAATTCAAACAAAATTAAATTTTTTGGTTGGCCCTCTATTTTTTCAATGTATTTTAAAGCCTCTTAAATCAAACTTCATGTTCGGCTAATTCATACTTTTTGCAGTTTCATACCAAAAAATATCTGCTGCTTTCCCACTACTTTTTAAAGGGACACTAAAGTCAAATAACAATTTATATTGGAGTGAAAGCTCAATGTATGACAACATCTAAAATGACACTATTATCAACAACTTGCCCTATTTACGGAGTAATTAAGGTAAATGCACAAGAACAGAAGCGCCGCAGTAGGACATTTTCAAAATGATCCCGATGACATCAGACGAACCACCTTCAATTAATCACTAGTAATCAATCTAACTGCACTAAATAAAGAGCCTTCCATGCATCAAGAGACACAATAAAATGCTTCTTGTTCGTTTTTGTTTGATTCATGGAAAAAAGAACTGCTGGACGTTACTATGGGGAAGGGTGCAAGTGGTTCAAAAATTCAATTTTCGCGGGGTTACAGGGGACAGGTGATGCCATCTAGCGAGGTACAGTTGAAACAAACAATGTTTACAGTCTTGAAGCTAATGGCCGGTAAGTGATCAATGGGCATTGTTGCTGCTGTCGCTCCCGCTGCTTTCGATCTGCTGCTACTAGCGCAGTAAAGCCGGGCAACATTGTGCACGGCAATAGTGATGTGAGTTGGTCTCGTCGGTCCGCTTTTTGAGGCGGGTCATCTGAAGTGCGCTAACCCGATGCGGACCACTACAACGTGATTTTATTTCAAAATAGGCCCTTCCGTGGCACAAAAGTAGCAGTACGAGGTTTCTGGATCGCTATTTCAACAGTCAACGTCAACTTAATAGTTGCCTTTAGTGTCCCTTTAAAAATTTGCGTGCTTATATAATCCTAACAGTCTAAAAAGGAAAAATAAGCGCCTCAGGCCTTCAAGGAAAAAGGTTTTGCTAGTAAACAAATGTTTGAAACAAAGCACACGCATGGTAAACCGTGATGCTTCTCAACTGGTATAGAGAGTTTTGTGCTGAAGGCATATACCTATAGCAAAGAAGCAATTCGCAATTCACCATTTCTTTAAAAAGTCTGATCAGCAGTAAACAGCCAATAAACTTGTGGACCTTACACCTCTGCTTTCTGTTCATTGTGGGCAGTTAGGGTTTAAAAATACTTCAAAAAATTTTAAATGGGATAAAATCACCACCTAATCATAATGTGTGGTGTTGCCTCACCCATAGTCACCTATCTGAAAACTTCTGATAATTCAAACTTCGTGATGATTTAAACTAAATTCAGAGGTCCCTTTGAGTTTGAATTAATGAGAGTCGACTGTATATGGGCTAGGTGTACGACACCCCTTATCTGAAATCTAATAGTAAAGCTTTTGTGCTGCTTTTGCATATTGGTTCTGAGACAGTTACAGATTAAAGCCACTTGAAAGTTGGGGAGAATGCTTCGGCTCTATAAAGTTTTATGTAGTCAGAATATATTTTATTTGTCTCTTGAGCATATGGGAGCATTTTTTTTTTAATGGGTACGTTGTTTCTTGTTTTTCTTTGTTGACAGAGATACTGAGCTAGCTAAGCTTCCAGAGGGCCTTTTAAATGTTATCAAGATCAAGTACCCTGTGGTAAGCACATGTTTCATTTATTTTCACTGTGATTTACATGCGTGATATGTCGCAATTCAATCCATTCTTCTTTTATGGACTATCGGAGGCAGTACAACTGCATGTAGTGCGCCTAAATATTACATTTTTAACTTTCTGCACCAAAATAGTAAAAATGCTTTGAGTGGCACTTCAGCTTGAGTGTGACCTCCAATCGTTCATGTTTAGTTCAGGCTTAGGAACATGGGGCATATTGAAAACCGTTGTCAATGCCATGCCATTCTAGTATGAATTCTGCTGCATACTAATGGGACAATGTGCAAACATTTTTATAGTTTGTCAGGAGCTTATGGCTTATCAGGATCATACATGCAAGTTGGGGTCGTTGACTAAGCATGCTTTGTTAGCTTGGTTATTCAGCATTATGAGGGGTTCTCTTAAATAAATTTTTATGTGTCAGCTAAAAGTGGGAGTGAGATTGAGAGGCAGTTAACATCTTTATTTAGAAGGTAGTTAAGGAGAAGTGCCTTTGTTTAGTCTAGGAAGGTGGAAAAAAGGTGGGCTAGTAGAATGGCTGTGAAAGCATCACTTAGACCAAATTACCACAGTGCTTTGAACGGTTGTGTTTCAGCTCTCCACATGTTGAACAGCCACTGTGATGAAAACTTAGTAGACACAGCGTCAGGTGTACTAGCACTCAAGTTTAAAAAAAAAATTAATTGCTTTGATGTTATTGTACTTAACTTTTTTTACTCTTTTATTAGGAATTTTTTATGGCTGTTTATAGAAATCTCTGCAGTTATAAATAAAGCTTTCAATGTAAACACACGAGTCTTGACCTCTTCAGAATATAAAACCAAGGCACATTTAAAAATATGCATAGAGCTTTGTCATTGAGATATCGACTTAACAAGGGACTAGTAATTGGTTCAGGTTTCAAATAGTGAATACAGAAAATGGACAGGGTGGAAGCATTTGTCTCCTATCCTTTTGTTTTCTTTCTTGATGTGCCAGTTCTCTCTCACTGTGTTAAGTATGCACTGTAAATTTTAGGCTCTCATGTCAAACTTGTAAGGCTATGATCAAAATGTGCGAATTTTGACTGTTTCCTATAGTTTATCCATGACCTTAGTTGGTATTTAATTTTCATAGCTGCTCGTGCATCTTGTTATTCAGAAGTGTGGATATTCTTCGTTTAATCAAATGCGCGGATGTTATATGCAAGGGGCAGCTTATGATAATTGCAAGAAGCCTTACACTTGTTGAGCTTAATTTTCCTGAATGATTATTGATGCAATATTTTGAGTTCCCATTTTTTAGCTTTTATTGAAGATTTGATACCTCTAAAACTGGATAAAAAATGCTGCCAAGCATTAAAGGGCCTTCAGTAATTTAACATATTGTTACGTGATTTAAGCTGACTGAAAGAGGGCATAGTGGGACATACCTAAGAAAGCTGCCTCAGACTGAGAGTGAAGAAGTGGACGTTGTCGGTCAGCTGCGCTCAGGCTGTAGACTGACTACTGTTATTTTCCACGTAACATTTTGGTGAAGGTGCTGGGTGCTCTTATGACAACGGAGCTACGCAGTGGACACCTCCTTAAGTCTGCTACCATGGCTCCGGGTGAGGATACGGCTTCACCACCTACCTTAGCAATGACAGCAACCCGGTACGTCGCCCTGACGCAACCCCGTGATCCCGGTACCTTTACTGGAGAAGAAAACGCGAATGTGCACAAGTGGCTCAGTATGTACGAGCGCGTCAGCAAGCAATATGGCTGGGGCCCAACCGTTATGCTTGCGAATGTCATTTTGTATCTTGACAAGACCCCTCGCATCTGGTTTGAGACCCATGAGCACGAAAGCACAAGCTGGAAAATGTTTAAACAACAGCTCCGCGACCTCTTTGGCAACCCGTTCGGTCAACAGCTTGATGCCCGAAAGCAATTGGCCGTATGTACACAGACGTCCACTGAGCCCTACTTGACTTATATATTCAAGATGTCTTAGCTTTGTGTCAAAGGGCGAATCCCAACATGACTGTGGCCGACAAGATTTCGCAAGTTTTAAAAGGAATCGCCGACGATGCGTTCAGCCTGCTTGTATTTACCAACGTAACGACCATCGACGCCGTGATCAGAGTGCCGCCGTCTCGAGCAGGCGAAGAGTCGACGCCTTTTGCAGCAGTTTCAGCGCCTACCCAACACCGCGGCAACGTCGTCTTGCGAAGCCACTCCTTGTCATCCGTCTACGATCGAAGACGTGACGCGCATCTTCCGACGTTAACTCGAGGCCGCTTACCCGGTTGCCAATAAACCGACGTTGCCAGACGCCTCAACGCCAGCTGTCGTCTTGATCCAGGCTGTTGTCCGCCAGGAATTCGCTAACCTTGGTATCCTGTCCACTGCACCCACCCTGATAATACTGGTCCCTCGATAGCTTCTGTGGACATGAGACATCGCCGCCCGTACTCTATTCGAACCAGGAACCCGTCTGAATGGCGAACAGCTGATGATAAGCCAATCTGCTTCCGCTGTGGTCGCGCAGGACACATTGCTCGTTACTGCCGCAGCCAATGGCCATCTATGTCTTCTGGCTCGTATTCTGCTTACAGAAACTCATTTTGTCCACCAAACCACCGTTATCCGACCCGCACTGAGTCTACAGCATTTACTGCGGACTACGGCCACCCTGTCTCGTCGTCGCCACCGCCTCAAAGCCGCTCTTCTCGTTCAAATACGCGTCGCCGCTCTCCCTCGCCATCGTTTAACCACCGTATGTCCCCGGAAAACTAGGCTGCACAGCTTCTGGAGATGAAGCTGCCCTGTCGACCTTACCCAAAAATCCTCTGTTGCCCTTACGTTTGAACCGGAATACCCTAGAAGTATATGTTGATGGCACACCTGTTGAAGCTTTGATAGATACGGGCACTCACGTCTGTATTATGAGTTCGTGTTTTCGTCGTCGCATGACGAAGGTCCTTACGCCCCTCCTTGACCAGTGTCGTCCAAGTTGCAGATGGCGCAATAGTCCCTGTCGCCGGTATGTGCACAGCTGAACTTACCGTAGCCAGTCATCTCATCATCATCATCATCATCATCAGCCTGACTACGTCCACTGCAGGACAAAGGCCTCTCCCATGTTCTGCCAGTTAACCCGGTCCTGTGCTTGCTGCTGCCAATTTATACCCGCAAACTTCTTAATCTCATCTGCCCACCTAACCTTCTGTCTCCCCCTAACCCGCTTCCCTTCTCTGGGAATCCAGTCAGTTACCCTTAATGACCAGCGGTTATCCTGTCTACGCGCTACATGCCCTGCCCATGTCCATTTCTTCTTCTTCATTTCAGCTATGATATCCTTAACCCCCGTTTGTTCCCTAATCCACTCTGCTCTCTTCTTGTCTCTTAAGGTTACACCTACCATTTTTCTTTCCATTGCTCGCTGCGTCGTCCTCAATTTAAGCTGAACCCTCTTTGTAAGTCTCCAGGTTTCTGCTCCGTAGCTAAGTACCGGCAAGATACAGCTGTTATATACCTTCCTCTTGAGGGATAGTGGCAAACTACCTGTCATAATTTGAGAGTGCTTGCCAAATGTGCTCCACCCCATTCTTATTCTTCTAGTTACTTCAGTCTCGTGGTTCGGCTCTGCGGTTATTACCTGCCCTAAGTAGACATAGTCTTTTACAACTTCAAGTGCACTATTACCTATCTCGAAGCGCTGCTCCTTGCCGAGGTTGTTGTACATTACTTTCGTTTTCTGCAGATTAATTTTAAGACCCACCTTTCTGCTCTCCTTGTCTAGCTCCGTAATCATGAGTTGCAATTCGTCCCCCGAGTTACTCAGCAATGCAATGTCATCGGCGAAGCGCAGGTTACTAAGGTATTCTCCATTGACTCTTATCCCTAACTGTTCCCATTCTAGGCTTCTGAAAACCTCCTGTAAGCACGCGGTAAATAGCATTGGGGAAATTGTGTCCCCCTGCCTTACACCCTTCTTGATTGGTATTCTGTTGCTTTCTTTATGAAGCACTATGGTAGCAGTTGATCCCCTGTAGATTTCTTCCAGAATGTTTATATATACTTCATCTACGCCCTGATTCCGCAGTGTTTGCATGACGGCTGATATTTCCACTGAATCAAACGCTTTCTCGTAATCTATGAAGGCTATGTATAGGGGTTGGTTATACTCTGAGCATTTCTCTATTACCTGATTGATAGTATGAATGTGGTCAATTGTTGAGTAGCCTGTTCGAAATCCTGCTTGTTCCTTTGGTTGATTGAATTCTAATGTTTTCTTTATTCTGTTAGCAATTACCTTTGTAAATAGCTTGTATACTACAGAGAGCAAGCTGATCGGCCTGTAATTCTTCAAGTCCTTGTCATCTCCTTTCTTATGTATTAAGATGATGTTAGCGTTCTTCCAAGACTCTGGTACTCTTCCCGTCAGGAGACACCTCGTAAACAGGGTGGCTAGTTTTTCTAACACAATCTGTCCTCCATCTTTCAGCAGATGTTACCTGATCCTCACCAGCAGCTTTGCCCCTTTGCATGCTCTCCAAAGCTTTCCTGACTTCTTCTATCATTACTGGTGGGGTGTAATCTGGGTTACTGCTAGTTCTTATAGTATTAAGGCCGTGGTTGTCACGGCTACTGTACAGATCTCTGTAAAACTCCTCTGCTATTTTAACTATCCTATCCATATTGGTAGTTATTTTGCCTTCTTTGTCCCTTAGTGCATACATCCGACTTTTGCCTATCCCAAGTTTCCTCTTCAATGCTTTGACACTTCCTCCGTTTTTCAGAGCGTGTTCAATTCTCTCCATGTTATACCTTCTTACATCGCATACCTTACGTCTATTAATCAACTTCGAAAGCTCTGCCAGTTCTATTTTGTCTGTTGTACTTGACACTTTCATGATTTGACGCTTCTTAATTAGGTTCTTTGTTTCCTGGGAAAGCTTGCCAGTGTCTTGTCTAACTACCCTGCCTCCAACTTCCACTGCACACTCCGTAATGATACTC